GGGGCTGGGGGTCCAAACCCCCCTCCGAATTACCTGAGCTCACTGATGTGGGCGTGGACACAGGGGGTGGGGCTGGGGGCAGATTGGGGGGCAGGTTTGGGGGTCCAGGGGCAGATCAGGGGTCTGATTTTGTGTCTGGGGGCAGGTTGGGGGGCAAGATTTGGGTCTGGGGGTCCCTCCAGACCCCCTCCCACTTACCTGAGCCCACTGAAGTGGGCGTGGACCCTCAGCTGGGCCCTGTAAAGCTGCACCCGCCGGCTCCGCAGCTCCAGCACCACCTCCACTGTCGGGTTGTACTGGGGGGGGCACAGGGGGGTCACAGGGGCTGGGACCCACCCCATAAACCCCCCCTGGATCCCACAAACCACCCCTGGAACCACTTGGGACCCCCCAAACCACCCCTGGACACCCTGGGACCCCCCCAGGCTCCCCCAGGTCCTCACCCGTTCAGTTCCACCTCCAGGGTCTGTGCCTGCTCTGGCCCCCCAGGACCCCCCCAAACTCCCTCCATAACCCACCCAGGACCCCCTGAAACCCCCCCAAATCCCTCCTGAGACCCTCCTAGAGCCCCCCACTCACGGGGTCCTCGCGGTAGCGGTCCATCAGCTCCACCTCCAGGGTCTGCGTTTGCTCCGCGAAGCCGCTGAGGAAGAGTCCGGCGAAGGCCACGGTGTGGAGGGTCCTCAGCAGGCGGGAGCGGTAATGGAGCATGGTCTGGTGGGGGGAGATCCCCAAATTGAGAAGGGGGACCCCAAATCAGACCCCAAATCCCACCCCAGACCCTCAGCGGGTGGGAGCAGTAATGGAGCATGGCCCAGGGTGGGGCAAAGACCCCCAAATCACCCCGCAGAGCCCCCAAAACCCCAGCCCAGAGCTCCCTAATCCCACCCCAGCACGGCCTGGGAGGGGGGAGACCCCCAAATCAGCCCCACATAGCCCCCCAGATCACACCCCCCCAGCCCCACAGATCTCTGAGGCCCCCCCTCAGTCCCACAGATCAATGGATCCCCCCAAGGGTTTGGGGGTCTCACCGAGCGCGCGGACGAGGCCAAGGGTCGTCCCCCGGCCCCGTAACAGGTCACGGCCACCATGAACATGCCGAGCTCCCGGTTCACCGGCGACTCCGGGAGCTCCAGCTCCAGGGAAACCCGGTACAGCTGCCCGTACAGGAGCACCTGCACAGGTGAAGGGACAGGTGAGACAAG